CCCCAAAACCCCAAAACCCCAAAACCCCAACTCTTAATTTTAAAACTGAACTAAGTAGTTAATCTTCAAGTGGTTCATTCTCTTCTTCGACAACCTCAATATTAGAGAGACCATGAGCTGCCAGAAGCTCATTGACCTGATCAATTTCAATGTTGCATCCCTCAACATTGATCTGTAGAAGGGAATCCTTGAGAGAGGAATTCTTGATTGCAACTATGATCTTTTCGAACCTGTCAGGATGCTCATCCCAATTCATACAGCACCAACTGGTACATGCTCAGTTAAAAAAACTGAGATATTTGAGCTTAGATTGGCTAGGAGACGAGAAATCAAGAGAATCTGAAGTTGAAATTTTGCTAAATCTAATAATCAATCTTTCTGAACTAGATGCAGACTTGAAAATCTGGCTGAGATCAGTGTCATCAATTTCCAAAGCTTCCAAATAAACCTCTTCAGTAACTTTGGACAACACCTCCTTGAGGCTTTCCAGGTAGAACTTTATTCTGACTGGGGATTCAGGGTTTCCATCCAGATCTATATTGTAATTACTGTTGAACACAAAGGATTGAAGGGAAGAAGGAGCTGAGTGAGTCAGGAATGTCTTCAGAGATTCATTTTCATTTTTAATCCAGTCAATGATAAGTCTTTTCATGTCACCAAGAGAACGCTTGAAGGTATTCATAGCTTTAATGATCTGATGGTCGCATTCTGAACTCATGTCAAATCTAAGTTCTTGGGATTCAAAGTTGAAGATATTTTGACAATCTTTGACTTGTTCTTCAATCTTTTTCTTGGCTTCTTCAAGTTCTACCATATTCTCTTTTAATTCTTCATATAATGCTTTACTAAATATCTTACCTTCGTTCAGTTTTGAGACTCTTTGTTGGCTTTTCTCGTTCTGTTGCTGAGCTTGCTTGATTTCGTCCACTTTCTTTGTAAGCTCCCTTTTGAGATTCTCTTTGTCTTCCTCCAACTTGGTCTTATCTTCTAAAAGAGTTTGATTTTGATCAAGGGCTTCTTCCTTTTGCTGTTTGATATCCTCCGTATCTTGGAGTACTCTTTCTGTTGCTTGCTTTTGCTCTTCAAGTTCGGTATCCTTGGCTTCATTTTGAGCTTGAAGAGTTTGTACTTGATCCTTATACTCTTCTTTGAGTCTGTCTTTTCATTTCTGTTCAATTTTTTTAGCTTCTTTTTCTAACTTCCTCTCCATTAGTTTGATATTTTGCTTGACAACAGCCTCAATTGTACGCTCGACCTTGATAGCAGAAGAAAATTCTACACGTCAGGCCTGTTTCTTACCATCACTAACCTTCGGAAGGCCATATCTACTCGCATCTCTAGTGGTGGACAGGAACAAAATATCTTTGATGACTTGTTCATTGGCCATGCGATTCTGTATCCTATATGCCAGTGTTAGCTGATAAAATACACTTAGCTGGAGAGTGTCATATCGCTCATGGTGGTCATGAGCAATGGCTTCATTTATCTTTCATTCAATTTCAGTCAAGTCTTCCTGATAATCTTTGATGACGCTGTTGATGTTTGGAAGATACACTTCCAACCCATTCTCTGTTGCCAGTTCCTGAAACCTCAAGACATGTTTCTGAACTTCGTTGATATCAGTTCTGAGATCTGTGAGGTCTTGGATAATAGCAATTTGACATTTGTAATGCATTTTGCTGGCGCATCCTTTACAGGAATAGACTTGGTGGTCTCTGCAGAAGTAGAATCTGTGTTGTTTGCATGCAAGGTCGCTGCATTGTAATCTATAAAATTTTCACATTCTGAAGTCAATGACATCACCCAAGATAGGCTAACTTACCTTCGGGGTATGAAGTGATTGTTTTTCATATTAGACATAAAATCCTGTAATTTTTTATTAAAATTCAACTCAAATTTATACATGCGGGGTTTTGGGGTTTTGGGGTTTTGGGGTTTTGGGG